CTGCTCGTTCCCCGCCGTGGAGGACCCAGTGTCCAGAAAGACTTTGCTTCTCAGCACTGCTGCTGTTTAAGTAGCTGATCTATTTTCTTAAAGCAACAAATACAAGGAAACCGCGGAATGGCCAGTGCCGACTTGTGGCCGCGAGAGCAGAACCTCAGCACATATGCGGATTGATATCCCCCGACTCAGAGCCCAGCACCAGAGCCGAGCATGTGCGCGTCATCCCCGCGCACGTGGACCCAGCAGGGAGGGGAATGTGCCAGAGGTGGAAGGGGACATGTCACCCGTGACTTCTGTCGGTGTCCCTGTGTGCCTGGACCCTGCACTTCCAGGTACATTTCTAGGCGACAAGCCAGACCGTCGCGACCCCGGCTGGCTGCCATGGAGCTGTGACATGTGGTGACCCCACATACAACCGACTGACCCGCCCCCCCAGTCCTGTGTCGTCCTCCCCGTTGCTGGCATGGCCCAGCCCACCCTTGCGGCCCTTGTGCCAATCCATCTCACCAGCAGTCGGCTTCACCACTCCCCCAGCAAGAGAACTCCGGAGGTCCCAAGGGCTTCCCTTAGCTAAACTTCAGGAAGAGATTGCCAGGCCTTTCTTAGGCTGTCAGCCCCACCGAAACCTGCCCGTTGTAGCTGACCACACCGATAGGTAGAGTTCTGGCATTTTCCACATCGCAGCAACACAACACAAACACAGCACAGCCGACTGAGGCCTGGGTGGTGGTGGGCCTCAGCTGGACCACCCTGAATGTAGAGGTGGTGCCTGCGGCAGCCCTGCCCTCCCTCCACGAGACAGCCTTTGGTTAGAAAACTGGCAGGAGGCTGAAGGGCAAAGGACCAGGCGAGGTCCCGGGGCCTGCTGATTGATGGAAGGCGTTGGCCTTATCTGATGTGGGCGTCAGTTTGACCGTCTGTAAGGTGAGACTGCTGGAGCTTCTCTCCCGGGCACCTGTGCTGGGAGGGGCTAAGAACTATGACATCGAAGAGTCCGACCACCCAAAGGGCCTTGGGGATCAGCCGACCCTTGGGGGTCAAGGACTTTTGATGAACCCACTTTAGGCTATTTGCCTTTTCAAGGGGTGGTTGTTTATTCTGAGTATTTGAAGGGGGCCTTGCTTTTTCCCTCTAGGAAATGACTTTATAGAAAAATAAAGTGCCTTTGAGTCGCTTCTGCCTCTCCACTTTGGTCCTGGGATATGTGAGTGATTGTGAGTGGTCTGAATAAGAAGCCACGTCTCTGGGCGGTACAGGAGCAGGGGGCGTGGGGGAATCGGGCTTCGGCAACTTTTTGGGTGGGGCATGAGCAGGCATCCCCAGAAAGATCCTCGGACCCAGGCTTAGAGATGCCCTACCCCCAAGAGCTCCTCCCTTTGCCCCTCTTGCTCACTATACCCTTAACCTCCTCCCCGACACCCACACCCTCTCCTCTCTCCACTTAGCAACTGGCAAGTGCTTAGACTGCTCTGAGTCACAATTCCTTCACCTGCAAAGTGCGGCTCATCATCTCTGCCGAGGGCGGCTGTGAATGTGCAGGAGGTGGAGCCGAACAGCACGGAGGTGGGGGTTCTGGGGGGTGCGAGCACTCTGGGTGCTGAATCCTGCCTGCAGGGGAGAAGGGGAGGGAGAGGAGTTGAGTGAGGTGGGAGAGTGAATGCACCAAGTGTCTGTCTGATGCACCAGCCCAGGAAAGGGACTCCACAAGGAGGGAGGGAGGGGCTGGCAGGCAGTTGATTCATTCACCTACCTATGCATGCAGCCACCCATGGGGCTGGCAGCACTGACCATCATTCTGGGCAGAGGATGTGAGGATGGGACATCTGGGCATGGGTTCTGGGGTCTGAGGTACAGCTCCTCCTCCCTCCTGTGGGATGACCAGGCCAGGCGTCTGGGGCCCTAGGAGCCAGGCTCTGCAGATGGACACCAGCATTCACATAGCTTTGATTCTGTTTTCCACATGGGGTTGGAGTCAGCTGACTTCTGGCCAACCCACACATGTTAAAGCACAACTATTCCATAGAAAGGGCTGGGTTTTTGGAAGCAAATAACCAGGCCTTTTTTTCTGAGGCACCGCCGGGTGGACTCGAGCCTTCCATTATCTGGTTAGTGGCTGAGCACATGAACCCTTTCCACCATCCAAGAATGCCTTGTTCTTGAACCCTGTAGGTTCTCTGCTGCCACAAGAAAGAGCCCAGATTCCAGGATGACACACAAGGCTCTCAGCAGTGTGGGCCCCACTTCTCCCTAGCCCTCTTCACCTCCCCACCTCCTGAAGGACAACCATCGTCCACCCATTCCTGTGGACCAAACACCCACAACACTCGGGCCTCTGCGTCTATAGACATCCTGAGACCTTGGCGGGGAGGCATGGCTTACACAAGCCGTGTCTGGGAAATCTATCTAGTCCTCTGGGGTCCTCCCCAAAGTGCCCCTGCTCTGGGAACCCTCCCCTGGGCCCTCCAGCAGCCCCATGGCATCAACACTGGCCATGCTCTTCCTGGGGACCAGCACACGCCTTCTCACGTGCCAACCTCCTTGACTGGGTTGGGAGGCCCGGGAAGGCAGGGTCTGGGTTCCACCTGGCCCGGTGACTAAAGAGTGCTGCCACCCACCTGGTGCCAGTTTGGGTGGAATGAACACTGAGGGGCTGAGTGGCTGCCTTTCTGTCTGGCCTGGGAGCCATTTGGCAAGCAAGGACAAAGCATGCAGATAAGGGTCTTCATGCTGCACGCAGAGCTTTTTTACTGAGGGATGTCCAGTGGACTCTGACTCATAGTGACCCACCCCTGCCCCAGGCTCAAGCTGACCCATAGGGCCTCTTCCCCTGGTTGTATTATTCATGGAAACCCACTGCCAGGTCTTCCTCCAGAAGATCCTCTGGGTCAGTGGTTCTCAACCTTCCTCATGCCGTGGCTCTTTCATACAGGTCCTCATGTTGTGGTGACCCCCCAACCATAAAATTATTTTCTTTGCTACTTCATCACTGTCATTTTGCTACTGTGATGAATCGGGCAACCCCTGTGAAAGGGTCCATTTGACCCCCACAGGGGTCGTGATCCACAGGTTGAGAACAGCTGCTCTGGGTAGATTCAAACCACCAACCTTTTGATTGGGAAAAACATGGGCGCTCCCTTTTGTTCATCCCAGCTTTCTGCTACTTGCCAGTGTGTGGTCCAGTAGGAGCTGCAGGCAGGCCTCCTGGCTGTTGTGAGGATGGGAAAATAAGTCAATGGCTTGGCATGTGTATGTACTCGGGGTCACAGCTGTCCTTAATATCTGAGTGCCAGGGGTTGCCAATGCCCGTCCACTGATGCAACATCAGAAGGTGGTGGCGGGTCCCCCGAGGGAGCGTTCCTCAGGCATCACAAGGGAGCCCTGCACCATGGCTGGACCTGGAGCACAGCATGCCGGGCAGAAGAGGGCACTCACAAGGAACTGTGCTGAATGGGTCCATTTATAAGAAAGGTCCAGAATGGGCAAGTCCCTGGAGACAGGAAGTAGATTAGTGGTTGCCTGGCTCGAGGGCTGGAAGGAGGCAGTGGGGCGAGACTGCTAATGGATCTCTTTTGGAGGGGTGATGGGGATTTTCTACAATTGATTGTGGTGATGGTGGCCACAATTCTGTGAATCTACTGAAAACCAGTGAAATGCATACTTTAAATGGATGACTCGCATGGGGAGTGAATCGCATCTGAATCAAAGTGCTATTAAGAAGTCCTGGTGGCGGGACAGGTAAGGGGTGGGCTGCTCATACAAAGGCCGCTGGCTGGGACCCATGAGCTGTTCTGGGGGGAGAAGGGGAAGAGGCTGCTTCTGTAAAGATTGACAACCTTGGAAACCCTGCAGGGGCAGTTCTACTTTGTCCTCTGGGGTCCCTAGGAGTTAGTATCAACTTGACAGCATACAGCAATCGTTAGAAAAGCAAGCCAAATTCACTGCCATCAAGTCTGTGCCAACTTAGCAATCCTATAGGACAGAACAGACTTGCCCCTGTGGGTTTCTAAGACTAATTTTTCTATGGGAATAGAAAGCCTCATCTTTCTCCCTGGTGGCTTTGAACTGCTGACCTTGCAGTTAGCAGCCCAATGCCACCCAATAACCACTATGCTTGGCACGTTAAAAAAAAAAAATCCTTGATTCACCAAGAGTTTGGAGAACACATCCTTGGGGAGCCTCAGATGATTTGGGGAAGACGGACTTTGGGCCGGCTCTCAGAGTGTGCCCCGAGAGCCTCTCCACCTGCAACATCTTCCAACTGCTCTTTGAAATGAGGAAATTTGCAACCCAGAGGTTTCACAAGTTCAGATTGCACTCAGCAACGGGCTGCTGCCACAGCCCTTTGCTCCAGGCATTCCTGAAGCACACCAGCCCTCACCATCCACATGGTACTAGGCTGGGCCTTTCCCAAGCAAAGGACCATACCCAACTCCCTCCACCCAACTAGGGGGAGCTTGCTGTTTAAGGAGGGCAGTGGTGGGTGGTTGGTAGAACTCATCTGCCGTGCGGGAAATTCCAGTTCCATTCTCGGCCAATGCCCCTCGTGTGCAGCATCACTGTCTGTCACGGGAGGTTTGCGAGTTGCTCTGATGCTTGAACAAGTTTCAGTGGAGCTTTCTGATTAAGAAGGACCATGGAGAAAGGCCTGGTGAAATACTTTGAAAAATCAGCCAGCGAAACTCCCAGGGATCACACCAGTCGAATCTGCAACTGACTGTTGGGTTAGTGCAGGACTGGGCAGTGTTCTGTGTCATTGTGCCCAGTCTTTCTCCTGAGGAGAAGCTGGTGGTTTTGAACTGCAGACCTTGCGGTTAGTAGCTCAGTGTATAACCACTACGCTATCAGGGCTCCTACCAGGGATCCTTCAAGGGTTTTTATTAAGGAACAATTT